AATTTAGCAACCAAACATTTAGTGTTCTCTGCTTTTGGGGTTGTTTTCTGTTAATACTTAACACTATTAATATCAACATTTCAGACATAAATATCTTTCCTTGAAAACTCCCTTGTCTCTCCAGTTAAAATTCCAGAGCACTGAGTATCCCTGGCAAACACAACCACACTTCCAGGAAAACAGAAGTAAATTTGTATTTATGGTATTTTCAAGACACGAGCAATATACTTTTTAAAAAAAATGTAAACCAAATGCAAACAGAGCTCTTAGAAGCTTCCATAATAAAGAAGCAACTTGGGTCAATCCCAAAAAATCAGCTAAAAAAAACCAAACAGTTAAAAATCAAACTAAATTAAAGGGCAGTCTTTTGTGGGTCATTTCAACCACAGGTCTGGTCCATGCTGTCACCATAGTAAAACTCCTATTTTCATGGAATGAGCACAAATTTTACAGAAATTGACTCAAACTCTGCTGGATTCCAGCTGCATCAACATCCTTTGCGGAGGGTTAGTACAGGGACGTGATAAAGAAGTGATAGAAGTTTTCTCTTCATTTGAAAATCACCTTTCCTCTGCAATTCATATTAAAAGAAGAGACAAAAAGAAGTGTTGCATGCTGGGGAAAAAAAAGCGAGATATAAAATATACTCAAACTGATAAAATCAGCTCCATCTCTATCTGTGAAGTTGGTAGTTTCCCAGCTGTGCCATACACAGCCCTCCAAGTACACCTCCCATAGCATGCTTTGTGTGAGACATCAGGGTAAGGAAAACTGGGCTTTATCCCTTCCTTGGGACTTTTTTTTTTTTTTCCCTCTTCTCTTCCTCTTTTTTTGAGGGGATACAAATTTCTCAGTGCTGCCAGTCTCGGGGGTGGGTGTGGGGAGAGGGAAAAGCAGGAAAGAAAGGATAAGGATGTAGTTCACTGGGGTTAGAAAGTCCCAGCAGGACAGAATATACTTGGGCTGCTCCATAGGCATTGTCTAAAGGGTTTTCCCCTCTGGTAATCTGTTTCTTCCGGTGAGAGCGCTCCATACGTGAGCTTTGCCTGCAGCTCCCTTCCCATCCCATCAGGAAAGATGATATATCCTAAATACCTCCTTGATATATGGCAAAGAGACGCTTTCAATTTCCAATCAGCATCCTCACTCCTGCCCAGATGCTGATTGGAACCTCCTCTGAAGCTGTGCATTTTTATTTCCTGGGCTAGGTACAAAGGAGGGAAGCTCCCAGAGTGAACTTTCGGAGGATTTAAGCTATGGCCCTAAATTACAGCTGAATGGAAGGACCTTCCGATGGAAACCCGGCCCTAAATCACCTCCCTGACGTCTCTGAGGCCGCTGTGAGAGTGGAGGAAGGTGGGATTTCTTACCAGGAGCAAAAGTTACAAAATATTAAACTGAGAAGTGAGGCAAAGGAGACTAGGGAAATAAATGGAAAATTTAATCTGTACAGAACCAACATGTCTGTAATTTAGGAGAGGAAAAACAGTGAGGAACCCCTCTACTTTTTAAAAGACAGAATTCTTAGCAAGTCTGTCTCGTTGTGCAGGATTTTGTCTTGCCTTGCTACCCCACCTCTCATAGGAAAATACAACCAGTTGTAGCCATCACTCTACCTGTTTCCAGCCTGTAGAAGGTACAGAGGAATTTTTTCTTTCAACTGTTGCAGTGTGAGAAGCGTGATGCTCTCGGGATTATTTCAGCACAGTTCAGACTCTTGTTACTCCTATAAATTCTTTTACAGTGTGGCAGGAATTTTCCCAGACTCACAATGCTCATACTGACACCATGATCCTATATCCAAAGAGAAGGAATTGCTGAGACATTTATTCCAGCTGGGGCTTCACATCACCTCGAATCTCAGCCTAACACTACCAAGGTGCAGAGAGTCTCTGATTTTCTGTAAGAAAACACACCCAGCAGCTCCCAGTGCCCAGATTCCCTGATGGAATGAGCCTGAAGTGAAGAACAAGGTCATCCCTGGGAAGGAGAGCAAGGCTGGCACAAACTGAAACAGCAGATCCAAACGCGCGGATGTGACAAATGTGATCCCAAACACTGCTTCATTTCAGCTTCACATCCTTTCTTCTTCCACCAACTCCTGCTCACAGCTGCTCTTATTAGAAACACTCAAGAGATGTTATTTTAAAAATATATACCTTGAAAAAGGCACTGGTTTTCTTTCCCCTTTGTTTCTTTCACATAATGTGCATGCCTTAAAAGATTACCATCAAAATTCTCAGTCACTTCCATCCAATTCCAATTAAACTATCATTAAAATATGTTCATTTTGTCATTTACTGTTTTCTTGAGAAGCAAGAGCAACAGAGTTTAACTTCCAACACACATTCAAAATCCATATTTGTACAAGAAATAAAATCCATCCTTCCTGACCTGCAATAATTTTGCAATATTGCAAATATTGAAATACCTTAAAATTTGGGAAGACATCCGTTTGTTAATTTATTATTTATAATTAGCCAAGCAATTTTTATAACCCTTTTCATGACCTCTAGCTAACAAATGACTTGTTATTAACCCTTCAAACTTTCCACACAATTAAAAAATGATTAACAACTGATGAATGGGCTACAATTGAAGAAATTAGGTTGCAATTAAGAAGACATTTAAATGAATGTTTAAAACTACTTGGATTATAATTAGAACCAGATCAACAACGAAGGTCACTTTTGAGTCATGTTCTCGTGGAATCGGAGATAATTCAGCCAATAAAGCTGAATTTAGTGGTCACTATTGGCACTATTGGTGCGTGGATAAAACCCTCCCAAAGGATTAACTGAGCCTACCAAAGCCAGAGGCTAAGCTAAACTGACTCCAGGCTCAGTCCTTAACCTGAGCCTTGTCAGTGTGGACCTTTCAGAAGCAAAATTGTTGCATTTCTCTCAAGACCATCTCAGTGTTTCACCCAGAAAGGATCTAAGGATATGATGATATGGGAATAGAAGAACGCCAGAATCCATGGATTTCTCTAGGACACAGCATCACAACCTCTGCTCAGCCCTTGTGCCACCGAAGTAAGGTTTTAGTCATGGTGACAGAGCCCTTCAACGTGGGTTAAAAGCAAGGGAATTGCATTTTAAGTGCTGGGAATATATTTTTTTAATTATTATTATTATTATCTGCTCTGCCAATCTCAGCCATATCTCAAGGCACTCAAAGAAAAGGATTTCTGATCTTTTGAGGGATTGGACACCAACTCCAAATGGCTTCAGGTAGTTTTGAAAAATCCCAGACAGGAGTTAAAACTTAACTGACTCTGCACATTAGAAGCTGTCCCTCACTCTAAAAAAAACTTACCATCAGTATTTATTCACTTTCTCATCTATGCACACAAAACCAGTAATTACTAAATTCAAGGCGAGCAAATGTAAAGATTCCTGTTTGGGCTCAAACAGGAAACTACACAACACAACTAAGAAACACTAGAAAACCAACAATTTTGATAACGTTCATCAAAAAAAGTAACCAACTGCTGTGAGCAGACACAAGAATTTGGTCTGTGTTTGGCTTTGTGGCCATTCCTTGTGAATATTCCACCTGGCTCATTGCCACTGACCAAACACTACCTTTTCCTGCACTCACGTTTCCATCATGATTGCTTCTCCCTCTTTCACCCTCAAAAAGAACTGACATCCCATATTTAATGAAATTATTACTCCCCAAGACTTCCTCTCCTGTGACTCCTCTCCGCTGTTCTGCTCTGGGGGAGCAGCTGAGCCTTTCTTTTGTGTTTTGCCAAGCTCCCAGCATCCAGCCAGGCCTCACACAGCTGCCTGTTCCCAGAGCAGCCACCCAAACCCAGCTCCTCACAAGCAGCTAGCCAACAGCTCAGGAGGGTAGCATAAGTAATATTAGGGATTTGTTTTCACCTCAGGATCTCCAGACAGACAGAAGAGCTGAGGAAACACCACCAGAGCCAGCTGCCCACAGGCACTGACCCAGTGGGTGACCAGCCCACAGCTGTCTCTGGAGTTGCCTTTCCACAGCCTCTGGGAAAGAACTGATCCATGTAATTCCTTGTATCTCACTCGCTTCTTGGTTTAGTTTTTATTTCCTCAGGACACAGGATAAAGGTTCCAAACCTGTAATACCGAAACATTAATTAGCTCATTACAATGCTTGGTAAGAAAGGAGATAAGTGTTGAGGTGATTTCCAGGCACTCAGAGCCTGGAACTGCTGGAACTGCACACCCAACAGAGCTCTCAGGGAATTCTGCCTCCATGCTTTGAAACCTGAGGCCTGAATACACACAATGTATCCCGGGAACTCTACAGCCTCACCTGCACTGAGCTGAATTCAGACCTTGCTGCAAGTTCCACCTCCCATCCTCAGGCTTGTGCCACAAAACTGACATGGCAGCTGAGGGCATTTTGCCCTCAACAGGAAGAGTTGCAGATTTAAAACAACAGAGAAGTCTCTATAAAAGAGCTGCAAACCAGACTGAGGTTTGATCTGGGGAAGCTGAATCTTAAAATCGAATAAAGCACAGGGTGATCTACAAACTTGCACAAATAGGCATTTCCAGAGAAGGTGGAAACCAGTCAGGACAGGAATATGGATTAATTAATTCATGCAGTGGAGGAAGAAAAAAGTTACTTTACTAGACAGAAAGAGATGAGAAACTCAAACTCTCTGTTGTCCCAGACCTCCCAGAAATAGCATCAGCAGTCCTTCTCTTCCCAGAGACTTCAATATTCATCAAATTCATTATTCAACTGCAAAGTGTAGGTGGGAAAACAAAACAGTGTGACCCTTTGAGACCAAATCCAGTGCTGATGCAAAGCCTATGGAGTGGTTCCAGCTTGCACTAGGCCTGAGCTGAGCTCCCACCATGCACTGTCCCTTCTGATGTCAAGGTGATGGATTACAACTTCCTAATGCAGGACTGATGCATTATGACATCCTAATGTTGGGACGATTGATTGTGACTCTTTTTTAAGTATGGCTTACTAGGCAATTATTGACACCATCCATGCATTAGAGCCCTAATTCAGCACAAACGGGCTGACAGGCCAGTGCTGGGGGAAAAGATTAACCTATTCCAAATTTTATAGATCAGGGTGAGACAGGGCTTGTTCTGGGACAGGGCCACCCTCTCATTACAGGCCTTCGGAGACAGCAAAACCTAAACAGTTTATGCCACATCTCAAAGAAAATTGCTTTATCCCTTCACCTCTAAGTGGATTCAGACGTTGCCAGATGACTTGAGAGTGCTTTGGGGTCAGTGCACACACGCCGGAACACAGAGAGGGGAAAAAAATCCAAGGAAAGGAAAGAGAGGGGTAAAAGCCAACACTGTCAGCTCCTACCCTCCAACATCTGTGAATAATGGAAGTGCAGAACCCAGGCTGGGAGTGGGGAGGTGAAGGGAGAAAAGGATGGTTGTAACAGTGACAAACAAGTCTAAGGGGACTTTTCTGCTCTCAAATGTCACTGGGGGAAGCAGACAGGAGACGGGGGAGGTAAGGAAGAGAGAAGGTCACGGCTGTAATACCCAGAGCGAGTGGACAATCAAATGTTTGCAGCTGGGCTAGGAAATGGCAATCCAGTTGCAGAGCACATCTGGCTCCCTTGCTGCGCCATGGGGCCACCTGGTTTTAATCATGCTGGGATCACCTTTGAAAAACAGAACTTAATCATAGGCCTAGTCCTAGCAATAGTGTTACATCCAGACTTCTCTCCAGGGGAGCAGAGGGCGGGAAGGGGGAGAAGATGAGTTAAAAAAAATTTTGCTCAATCAAGCCTGAAACTTTGTCAACAAGTTCCTCTTTGTCAGGTTAAAGGGAGTCACTTTTGATATTCTCCCTCCTTGCATTTGATTCCTGATTAGCTTACACTTTCCTTATTGTTATTTGGACAGGTCACATATGTGGGTGCTAATAAGCACAGCAAGCAGACAAGCTGTTGAAGGAGTCATTGCCTTTCCCCCACCACAGAAATAGACTTTGGATTACAAGGCCCTGCACCTTTCCTGGGTGGTCTTCACGAACCCAGCTGGGATGCCATGAAGACAAGCCTCCCTTGGCTCAGGAAAGGCCCAAACATCCTTCACCATTACAGTGAAAACAAAAGTCTGCCCAATCCACACTCAGATGGAGTAGTAGACATCAGGCTCAGAGCAGCAAAAACAGCATCTCTTTACCCAGACCCCTGATAAATGGTGGAATTCATTGCCATGAGTTTGACAGATACTGAAAGTTTACATGGATACAGATGAGATCAGAAAAGAGGGAGAGGAGGAAGGGATCAATATTGATACCAGAGCATTCAAGAGGCAGAGACAAAGGTACTGGAACTACAAAGTCCATTAACAAAAATCAAACTGAATTCATGCTGATGAGTTGCTGGAGATGAAAAGCAGCTTCATGAACAGTAGGTTTATTGAGCCAAGTGAGCCCGATTTCCTTCCCTTCACATAGAGGGAAAACTGAAGTTATTTCTAGGTAACTCTTGCTTGAGGAAGGAGATGATCTTGAAGATCCCTTCAAACTCAACCCAAACGCCTTCTACCACTGTAGTTAAAAAAAAAAAAAAAAATAAATGCAAATAAAGACTCTTCAGGCTTGCAGACATCCTCACAATTCCTCAGTCCAGCTTCTCAGATCTCAGTCTGAACTGCAGGACTGACGATCCAAGTGTGCTGAGCCACTTTACACCTTCTGCTAATGCAAAGGAAACCTCAAACCTTCAGTCCCACTTATCAAATACTTCAAATAAGTAACCTTTCTGTTAGGGGTAAGATCAGATCATGGATAATCTTCAGTGTGTCTAGTTCATTTTGTCACAGATACTGGGGTTAGATTCCCTGCAATGCTTCATCTACTTCACACTGTTGTCATGCTGTAAATGAGCTTTAAACTCAGCTTAACCACACCGACCACAAGTTGTTTTATATCTTATTAGAAAAATGACTTAATTTCCGGTGTAATCTTGTACAGGAGCTCAAATCTGCAACAGCAACAGCGTCACTATTGTAATATAATCTGGAAGTATTAAAATAAAAATAAACATAGTCAAAGAACATTTTACAAATGTTAATTATTACTAGGGGAGAAAATCCTGTCAGACAGGTATGTGATAGTAATAGTTATCTTATTTTACAGGCAGAGAAACTGAGCCAGAGATTAAGAAGTTAAGTGACTTGCCCAAGGCCATGAAGAGAAGCAAAGTGAGAATAAGGACTAACAAGCAGGAATTCCCAGCATCCCTGCAGGCTACAAGGCCCTTTCCTATCCACCGTTTCCACAATTCCCAAATCAGTTCCACTTGATTCCAATGGCTTCAGAAGAGATAATCTGATAAAGAGACCTGCCTGACAGAGAATACATTGTGTGTGCAACAAAGATTTCAAGAGTTATCTTGATTTTTAGAGCTTGGCTGCACTCTCTTTTTCAACTTTATCTTCGAATTAGCATACAGGCATCCAAAACATCTTGATGCAGTAAAAAAAAAAAAAAAAAAAAAAAAAAAAAAATTAGGTTTCTCTGTTCCTGTCTAAAGCAAAGCCCTGGAAACAGCCCGGGAACAGCCAGGATGTTTCAGCAGCCAGCGTATCACGCCAGTCTCTGTTCTGTACTGAAGGTCTCCCCCATCCCAGCTGCTGCTGCTGCTACACTGTGAACCGACAGGAAGGGAAGCCAGGGACTGCTCCCGTGGCTTGGAAAGACAAGGCTCGCTGTGCCACCTGCAGGGCTGGCTGGAAAAGATGCCTCTCGTAGGGATTAGCACCGGCTCCAAGGCGGGGGCACCGTTTCCATCCAGGATGGAGCAGCCTCACTGCAGCTAATTAGTGTAAGCAAGAGCAGAACACGGACTAGAGAATGATCCTGTCTAGTTCCATTGGGTGGTTTCACTCCATTCCTGCCTGCGCTCACCTACCTGGAAAATTTATGTTCTGTTGAATGAGGGAAACTGAAAAACAAACACAAATGAGAATCAAATCCAAGTTATGCAGTTTACACACAAGTTCTATGGAACTTGTACCTGTACCTACTCCTGCCTGTAACCTAGCCGTTTCCCCCTGCACTGAGCTGCAGTTCTTCACGAGGACTCTCTCCTTTTATTTTACTTCTGATTTAATGCAATTATCTCCCCACTAATGCATCTCCAAATGCACACCTCTACCTTTGTGTTTTGCTGGAGCAAATGGCCTGAACAAAGAAGTTCAGAAATTGACCTAAATATACCTAAAACTAATCCAGGAAAATATCAAAGTTTGGCAGGAAGGTTAAAAATACGTGTTCCATTTTGGCTGAGGTCTTCTTTGCCTTTTTTATTGGTTGTGAGCACTTGCAGTGGAGGAGCGCAGCAGTCAGAAGCTGAGAGAGATCTGTTAAGTCATTGTGCCTTCACTCATGGTGATCTCTGCTGGACAGGCACTCCCAAATAATGAAATCCTCTTTATCTGATCCTTCTGCCAACATATGCTTATTCCCCACCACACTGATTGCTCCTGCTTTCTGCAGCATGCTTTAAATGTCCCAAGAGATGGGGGTTCTACCACTTTCACTAAAAAATCGTTTACACAGCCTGGTAGATTTGGCCCCTGGGGAGGCTTTTTTATTGTGTTTGGTTTCAGTGAGAGCCTCGGAGGTGTCGGTCAGTGATTGATTATTGTTTGTATTGTGGTAGCACCTACAGGCACCCGCTGAAACTGCAGACCTGCTCGAAGGTGCTGCCGAGCCCAAATTCCTGGAGGAAGGACAGCTCATCCAAGCAGAGGCACAGGGAGAGAAACTGATTTCCCAAGCCCAAGCAGTGGCACTTGCATGCAGTGAGGAGTGGAGACAAGCTGCTCTAAACCTGATTCCTGCATTCCCACCTGGGCACAGCATCCCCAACAGCACCTCGAGTGTCCAGGCAATGTGTACATGCCCACAGGAGTTGTTCTGATGAAAGAAGCACAAAAACAATAATCCCATGACAACCAAACCCCATTAGGGCTGAGGGTGGTTTTACAGGGCCCCAGTGCTGCAGCACAAGCCACGTGCACACAGGGTAAAACTCCATTGCAGGGTTTTCTATCAAGCCATGGGGAGAATTCTGAGGACAGCAGCAGAAATGAAGAAAAATAAAGTAGGCATCAAAGGTTAAGCCACCAGATGAGGTTGCAGGAGGTGGTAGATTATGTGATCTTCTTGTCTTTTAATTAAGTTCTTTCCTTCCCATGTTAAACAAATCCTCTTTTTTGGACACCAATGGCCTCTTCCCATTTATCCTCACACAAAGTTTACTGTGAGAAGCAGCACCTGAACTAAACCATCATTCCAGAGCTAAAACAAATCATTTTTTGACTCCGCAAATGGTGAGGTGGTATTATGATCAAGGTTAACACCTTAATTCAGCCAGGCTCTTCATTCAGTTGGGGAATCACTCAACAGCCCAGCAAACAGAGCCCAGCATCCCACTGGACTTTCTTCCTTCATTGGCAACTCTTACAAGCACAGAAATACAGCGCTGTGTCTGAAGAGTAAAAAATTACTATACTGTGGTATCTGTTAATCTGATGGATGGCTAAAACAGAAGCTAAAACTTGAGATGCATAAATAACTGATTTTGTATTTTGCTTGCATTATAGAAAAAATAAAGGAAGAAAGATTAGTTTGGGAGAAGCTCAAAAAACCCACTATTTTTCAGTGAACTGAAAAACAGAACGACATAACATTTTGGCCTCAAACAAAGCATTTAATTTGACCCAAGGAAAAATCACTTAAAAATAACACTGGAATTAATTCTGAAGTTTCTCATTTGGAACAAAAATACCAAACTGCTTTTTCCCCCGCAGTGTTCTGATTAGTTTCAAAAACTGGCAGTAGGGTACATGGTGTCTGCTTTAACCAATGGATTTCCTCCTACTTTTGAAATACTTCATTTGACCAGAACCTGTATTTCTTGAGTGAGAAAACAATGGCAGTGATTTGGGCCAACAAGTGAATGCACTTTGGTCATAGAAACTGCACCAGAAGTTTTCTATTCATGAGATTCCCCTGTTTCCCAAGAGTATTATCCCTCACAGCATGGATGACCAAAGAACACGAGAATCTCATCAAAAGATTAAAGCTCCATTTCTTGTGTCAATATTAGATCACACTGGAGAGGACACAGACACATGTTGCAATTTAGACTGAAAGTTTGGGCAGGACAGAATGTGAGGAAAGGGATGCTTTTACCCCAGAAGCACCTTGGGAGAATGTCCACAGTCCCAGCACATACCACCATCCTTGGATTCTCCCATCTCATTCCTGATGCATGTTTATGAGGCTGAGAAAAGCCCACCATAATCCACAGGCTGTCTAAAATATCCACAAGAGCCCTCCTGAGTCACGAAGATGACAAATGTGTGTCCAGCCAGGACTGCTCTCCAGTGCTTCAGTTTCAGCAACTCCAAATGAACTTTCAGAGTGCTGTGACCCGGTGAAGCCAAATCGCGCGTCCCTTGAGACCTTCTCATTCTTTTCTCGCTCCCCCTTGGCCCCCTCATCAAATAAAGCCCAGAGTACGTGCGTCATTCTGACACATTCCCTTCAGGAAGTGATGGGAAGAGGATAGATTTTCTTCCTCCTAATGCCCCGGCTGTGTCCCTGCAGCACGAGGTCCCTCATTCCCACACTAACAGGCCTCCTGTGCGACGGGGCCGCGGGTAACCCGAGGAGCCATGACCAATGCGATGTCGGATTAGCATCGCCCGGGGACACTGTCAGCAGCCTTCTGCTGGGCTCTTTAAGAGAATATCCTGCTGTGATTCACAACAAGTCCTGTGTTCCAGAGACCAGAGATCTCATCCAGCAAATTAAAAGCGCTACAGTGAATTGCAGTATTCCTGCTCGGAGCTCTCCCAGGGACTGACCTAAATGGTGTGTGCTCTATCAAGGGTAAAAGCCACCTGCTCCACAGAGCCTGGGCTGCAGAGCACTGAGACCCACCTGTGACCACGACGGACGCGAGGGACTGGGACTGCAATGCTGCTGCTCAACTTCTCCGTGGTTTGGCAAAGTCTGGTTCAGCACAGCAATTTGTCTCAAGCATGTTGAGTCACGTATTGGTAACTCTTCAATATGTTCTGCAGTACTCACTGACACATATTTGTTATCTTAATTACTAATTACAAAAAGCAGGGTGACTCACTCACAACATGGGCTGGAGAGACCACTGGTTTGACCAGCCTTGCTGACTGTGTGCTGGGCTAGAAATTGTGTGCACGCCTGGCTGGGAAGGAACTGCAACAAAAGCCTTCTCTGTAGCTGCCTCCTTCAGCTGTGACAGAGCACCAAAGACCCAGCCAGGGACAAAGCGGTGACCTGAAACTCGTGGAAATATTCAGAGTCACAGAATGGGTCAGGTTGGAAGGGACCGTAGTGGGTCACCTGGTGCCACCTCCCTGCTCCAGCAGGGCCATTCCAGAGCACAGGATTGTATCCAGAGGGCTCTGGAATATCCCCAGGGAGGAGACTCCCCAGCCTCTCTGGACAATCTGTTCAGGGCTGGGCACTGCCCAGGGAAGTAGTTGTGCCTCCTGTGCAGGGGGAATGGCTGGGATCAGTCCCTGCCCGTGGCTCTGGTGCCATTGCTGGCCCCTGGAGCAGAGCCTGGCCGTGCCAGGAGCCCTCCCTGCACACAGGGACAGCCAGGCCTGAGGGCCCCTCTGGGCCACCTCTTCTCGAGGCTGAACAGCCCCAGTTCACTGGGCCCTTCCTCATAAGAGAAATGCTCCAAAAACACTCCATGTGTAAAACCACTCAGCAGTGTATGAAAGAGTGCAGGAGTGATTTGTGTTTCTGCTTGATGAATACCATTATACCAGAGAAAAAAGCTGCCTCCTTAACAAGCAACAGCATGAGGAAAAGGGGCAGGGGGAAACAAGGAAGAGGTAATTACTTTTATGGAAATACACCAAGAACTTAACTCCTTTTCTTGTAAAATGGGGTTTGTATGTCCTCAAATGTCAGAACTGTAGGCTTGCATCTCCTTGGGAAGTGAATGCTGAATGCAACACTGGTGATTCCTTCCTTTTTAGCCAAAAGCATGGAATGCCATCAGCTGCAGCACTGGGTGTTCGCTGTTAACTGCAGCTAACCCACCAAAGAACTTGCCACTAAAGCAAGCCCTGCTCAGTCTGAGGGAGCCAACAATATCCCAAGGTAATGTGCCTCCAAACATGTTTTGATTACACCAAAAGAACAGGAACACTCAGCTGTGCTGTGGCTCCTCCTTTTTTCTCCCTCTGGCCTCCCACGTTACAGATTAAAACAAGAACATCAAGAACGCATCTGGCATTTATGGAGCGTCAAAAACTTCTCTGAGACCTCCTGGAACAAACAGCCCCTCAGAG